CCCCAGTAATGCAGCCCTCCTGTACTTATTTCTTATGTGCCACCTCTGTCCCCCACACCATTATCTTGGGAGAGAAAGTGCTCCATCTCAAATTCACACCAGGGATTCTTGTTGTTTCATTTCTTTATTTACTCATTGAGCAAATATTTACCAAGTGCCCCCTTCTTGCGGAACACTGTCTTACCTGCCAAGTTTGTGATCAACAGGATATACAGTCTGTGCCTTAAGGAGCCTGAGGGGTGTGTGTGTGGAGTGTGTGTGGGGGAACGACAGGGGGTGATGACAGGGGGGCTGTAAACTGTGGGTTGCTGTAATTTGGGGATTCATAATCTAGCTGGGCACGCATGGGGTACCATATCACACCTGGCAAACCTCACCTGGTAGATTCCTCTTCAATTCATTGGCCCAGCAGGCTTAGGAAATACTTTACTGGGATTTAAATCAGTTTATTTCACTGGGTCTCTACACCAAATTTAAAATGATTGTTTTGGGGGTATTTTTCTGTCTGGACAGGAGGTAAGGACAGGCAGGTAGCCATGGAACAGAGAGAGTGGGGGAAGAAGTGAAGGAAGAGGAAGCTGACTCTGGCAGGTGCTGTTTTCTCAAGGAGTCTGGTGAAGAGGTGGGAGGGGGTTGTGGAAAATGTGACTGGATCCATTTTTTAGCACGCTGTAAGCTTGCTGTAGTGGCTGCTTCCATAACAGTGATGGGAAGATGGTGCAAAGCGTCGCACTTTTTTGAGCCAGTGGTTTGGTTTGTGCCTGTGATTCCAGTGAGCAGGTGCACTTTCCTCTTCATCGTGGCATCACTACTTTAGCCTTGATTTCCTTGGATGGACTGCAAGCTGAACTTCACACATCAACTCCCCCACCCTCAGGGGCTAGTAACCTCTGATGGATACAAGAATACTTCCTAATTGTTCACTGGCCACCTTCAAGGGCCAGGTCCTGTGCTCAGCACTTCTGTTCCTTTGCTCTGAGCCCTGTCAGCCTGGAGGCGCAGATGGCAGGCAGCGGGTTCCTTTTACAACTGAGGAAACAGACCCGAAGAAGTGCCACATCCCGTGGAGGCTCACAGCTTGGGAGTGGCATAGTTGAGGTTTGTCAGGGCTTATGTCTGTCTCACAGCAAAACTAAGTTCTTTGCGCAGTCGCTTCTCTTAAGAGAGCTGATTGAGAAATTGTTTTCAGTACCTTGTTTGGGGTTTGAACTTGGTCTTATGATTGCTAGGCAGGTGCTCTACCGCTTGAGCCATACCCCTAGATCCCCTACTGCCTTTTTTTTTTTTTGCTTTAGTTATTTTTGGAATGGGCTCTTGAGTTTCTGTCCAGGCTAGCCTGGACCTTGCTCCTCCTATTTACAGTTTCCTCCTAGCCAGGATTGTAGGCTCGAGCCACCATATCAGCTACTGGTTGAGATGGGGTCTACGTGCTTGCCTGGCTGGCCTTGAAATGCATTTCTCCTGATCTCCACTTCTTGGGTAGCTGGGATTACAGTGCGAACCACTGGTGCCTAGCCAGTACCCCTTTTTTTTTTGTACCATAGTCTCATTAAGTCTGAATTGATTTACTGCTATCCTCTATAGAAGAGGAAAACAAGAATGACCATTGCAGTCTTGTGATTCCGACAGAAATTTTATGGACTCCTTTTTTTTTTTTTTTAAGACTGGGGTTTTGAATTCGGGGCCCTGAACATTGCTAGGTAAGTGGTCTACCATTTGAGTCACTGCCCCCTGCCCACCAAATCTTTTGTTTTAGTTATTTTTCAGACACGGTCACACACATTTGCTCAGACAGGCCTCAGACCATAGTTCTCCTTACCTCCCTTGTAGCTGGGATTACAGTTATGCACTGCCACACCCTTGTTCTTTGAGATAGGGCCACACTAACTTTTTTTGTCCTGACTGCAGTCCTCCTTATCACTGCCTCAGGAGTAGTTGGGATTACAAACCTAAACCACCTCACCTGGCCTTGGACTCCTACTTTTGTAGGTATTTTTAAGGAGAGGGTGGATTAGGCTGTTTAGAAAGGCTCTGAATGGATCCCAAATTCTAGGTTTGAGGGTTCGAGAGACATTGTCACTGCATTTCTTCAAGGTCTGCAAACCTCGGAGTTCTGGAGATAATTGGCTGTTGGGTAAGAGTTTAAAAACAAAATTCAGCCAGGGGCCGGTGGCTCACGCCTGTAATCCTAGCTACTCAGGAGGCAGAGATCAGGAGGATCGGGCGGTGGAAGCCAGCCACAGGGCAAATAGTTTGGCAGATCCCATATGGGGGGAAAAAAAAACCATCACAAAATAGAGCTGGCAGAGTGGCTCAAGTGGTAAGAGCACCTGCCTCACGAGTGCAAGACTCTGAGTTCAAACCCCAGTGCTGCCCTCCTCCCCCCCAAATAAAAACAGTGTTTGGCTTCCTGGTGCACAATTAATCTGTGCACATGTAATTCCTACTCATGTGGTCTTTGCAACAAAAACAAAACTTGGCTACTTAGTAATTACCTCAAGCTCTTAAAATTGCAGGTAAGGAAGTGCTTGGGCACTGCCATTAGAACAGGGTTCGAGAATGCGTGGCCATTACTACAATGGGCTGTCACAGAAGGTTCCAACCCAGAAAGACAAGCTCCAGGGAACCCTGCCAAGGACACAGGGGAGTAAAGTGGTCTGAATTAGAGCACAGGGCCTGTGTTATGACCTTGGAGTTCTCCTGCCAGCCTCTTTGTTTACAGGGCAGAGTTTATTCCCTGCCACCCAGCAATCACAGGCATTTCTGCTTGCCTTTGTGAGGTATGCAATGGGTCAGGCATTTTGTAGGTTTTAGGTATGTAAGGCCCCGTTGGTGTTAATAATTGCTCACCATTATTTAATATCTTTGCTAAAGGATTGAGGTAAAGTGACAATGACTTTCTAGTTTTGGCTCTAGTAATTCCCTTGGTTTTCTATGAATTTTATTGCATTTGAAAGAAAGTCTGTCTTCCCTTGCAAATGCCATTTTAGGAAGGCCATTTACTGTGGCCATACTCCTCCCAGGAGTCCTGAGACCCAGCACGAGTGTCATTAATCCCATTTTCCAAGTGAAGAAGCTGGCTTGGTGAGGCTGGAAGTCAGGTGCCCAGTGGGAGTTTGGGATCCCAGCTTGGAGTGTCCGACTCTCAACTCTGGGTTTTTTTGGCTTAATTATAAAGCCAAAAGTAATGATTCAGTTTTCAAAGTCATGAAGAAGTTCTAGTACATTCTATGAGCTAATATATCTTTGATCTTCATTGAAGCTCTACTGATAGTTTTAATGAAAAGGGCAGAGAGCCCCTTTTTAAAGGTTTGATTATCCACCACTTTTGCCTATAAGGTTTTTGTCCTCCTTCCTAAAAACAGTGTGACTCATTCAGACTCGCACAGCCACAGGTGACAAGAGGACTGGCCTTTCTCCTTGCCCTAATCAAGTATCAAAAACCTGGAAAGTTTACTTAGAGTGGTGATTACTGTGAAAGCTTTAGGAACTGGTAGAGAAAGAATGAGGGAGAGATAAGACAGGGTGGAGGGTGGAGTTCCCCAAACTCAGAGTTTCTTTTGCTTGTGAGTTTCAGGTTTGGGGGCCTTGTCAAAGTTAGCTTGGTCCTAACTGTTCTTGCTATCCTGGGCCACCTTTAAATTTTGGAGAGTGGAGCGAGGGAGAACAGATGGGGAGGAGAGGTATGAGGATTTGGGAGAGTAAACCCAGCCATTAGCTAATTCTCTAGGACTGGCTTTCTCAACCAAGGCATGACCACCTCTCCCTGCAGGTCGGAGTCTAACTTCCTGTGTGTGAAGTAGCCAGATGGGTACCAAAGCGACCGAGGGTGACCTAGTTCTCCCCATAAGAAAGAGTAGCAGATATTCCTAGAGCGTTTACCTCCAGCCCTGTTCTGAAAGCGTTTACGATAGCCACTCTTAGAGATAGGCCCTGTCGTAAGCCCATCTTCCAGGCAGGGGAAACAAAGTCATGAAAAATCGAGCAACTTGTCAAAGTTGCTTCCTAGTGGTGGGATGCAGTTCTGACCTGTGCTCCCAATGGCTGTGGCCTCTTTGGACACTCAGCTCCAGTCGTGGCACTGGCTCTGTTTCATTTCTTCAGCATGTTATTGTATTTGGTGTTATTTTAACAATTAGAGAACTGGCACATACCCTGTCTGAACTCCCACAAACCTGGAAACAAACCTACATAGTGGAGGGATTTCTTTCCTGACCTTGTGTGCCTGGTGTGTAGACGCTCTGTAAAGCTCTGCAAGGAAGGACAGAAGCCGGCCGTCAGTCTTTTGAAAGTTGGCGTCCCTGTATTTCATTTGTCTCTAGCACCTACAGTGATTTCTTATCAGAAAACACAGATGAACACCCAGAAGGGTGAGAATGTTGGGGGAAGGTGCTTCACAAAATAATGAGAGAGTTCTTGATAAAAACATGCTGTTTTTTATGGATTGCAAGGTCTCATAGTCAATGTTTTTTCATCTTGTGTTTGCTTAAGGTATTTATTATTCTAAGACATCTGTACCCTAGTCAGCAGATTATTCTGTGAGTAAAGGCATGATTGGTGGTTGCTCCTCAGTTCCCACAGGATGTATTTTCTCATTGGAATTGGGGACCAAGCCCTGGTAGAGCTCTACTCTGTCATCCTTTTCCCTAGGGCAAGGGTCAGGCTGACATTTCCATGCTTTTTTTTTCCCTCATTCAAAAATCAAGTTTATTTTCAGAATTGACGTTTGGGGTAAGTCATCTAAATAAAATTCAAATAACTTATATATATAAATTATATATATATATTTATATATGTATACACACTTCTGATACACACACCCTCCTTTATACTTTAAATCAGCTCTGGATTACCTGTAATCCCTAGTACAATGTAAACAGTTGTTATGCTGTGTTATGGGAGTAACAGCAAGGAAAAATGTATACAGGTTCAGTACAGACTCATTTTCTTAGAAAGTCTCATTGATCCACAGGTGGTTGAATCGGAGGCCTGAGAACTCTGTTTTCTCATCCCCTTTTTCCTCTGAGGCAAGCTCTTCAGAGACTCACCTGCTTGGATTGGACGCCCTGTTTGCCCATCACTAGAAGTGTGGTTCTGGGTAGGTTCCATTTTTCTTTTGGCTTTGTTTTCTCTTCTGTGAAATAAGGGTGTAGCACCAACCTCATAGACTTGTGAGGGCCATATCTCTTTGTATCATACAGTAGTTTTCAAACAGGGCCCTGGGCGTGGGGGTGGGAGTGTAATTTGACCATATCTGGAGGTATTCTTGGTAGTTATGACTGGGATGGGGGGGTGGCTCCTGGCATTCAGTGGGTAGATGCTGTTAGACATCCTACAGTTCTTGGGGAATTATCTGGCCCCAAATGTCAATACCATCGAGGCCAGAGGCCCTGACAAGGTAGAACCTCAAACAGTGGCTGGTCTTTTTAATGCCTCTGATCAAAGGAAGCTAACTAGTTAGTGTTCAAGACCCCTGCTTTCTTAAGTGGGGAGGAAAGAGTGGAATTTCACCTTTTATTGGTGCCTCTAGGTTGCCTGGGGGCGCCCTGAAGCGGGAATAGCTCTCTGTTCTCTGTTAAGCATCCTGAACTTTTTTTGCAATTGTCTGCAGTATTTACATGTAAATAACCAGGCTGCCAGCAGTGAAACCCCTTCTGGGCTCCTGGTGGTGAACCTGGTGCAGTGGCCTGGGGCAGGGTACAAACCTCAAAAGAGGAGGTCATCCTGTGTGTCACCCTCCTATCTCAGGATGTTTGGAGGAATAAATAAAGTAGCCCTTCTCCTGTGAAGGTGCTTGTATCATTCTGAAGGTGTGCCTTTTATTTATTCAACCACCTCCCCCCCCATTCAATTTCAGGTAGGGATCAAACCACAGCCTTGGTTACATGACAGGTAAGCACATATCCTCAGCCCATGTTTTTGGGCAGCACTAGGGCTTGAACTCAGGGCCTTGTGCTTGCTAGGCAGGCGCTCTACTACCTGAGCCACACCTTTTTTGCTTTAGTTACTTTTCAGAAAAATTCTTGCTTTTTGCCCAGGGCTGGATCCTCTTTCTTGTACCTCCCAAGTATCTGGTATTATAGGTGTACACTACCGTACCCAGCTCCTACGCATTTGTTGAAAGTGTTTTCAGAAGCTCTAGTTCATAGGTGATCATGCAGTCAAATGGTTAGAGCTTAACAGTCAAACTATCTGTCTGGGACCAGGTGGTATGTATCCCTGAAGCACTGCACCTGAATCTGGACGCAGTGTTCAAGCCTGCATGGCTCAGAGGTTTGGAGTCGGGGGTAGGTTGCAAGTTGAGTGGTACCCTATGTTTAGACTCTACCTAGACATATTTGTCCTGTGACCCCACACAAGCCACTTGACCTCTGTATCTCCGTTTCCTAACCAGAGATTGGTGTGAGGATTAAGTAACTTGCTCTCAGTGACGCTTATCTCAATGACTGAGTTATTAGTAAAATAATATTTTATTTTGGCCTGTACATTATGTATTATAACTCAGGAAGGAAAGGAATTGTTCTGGTTTGGGAGTTCCTTGTTTTTTTTTTTTTTAATTTTAATTCATTTTTGGTGGTAAAATACATAAAATGAAAATTCAGTTTTTAATAGATTGTTTTCTATTTTTTACATTTAAAAAAATTAGTTACTTATTTTCCCCTAGTATGGGATTTGAACAGAGGGCTTTGTGCTTGCTAGGGCTTGCTAGGCAGGCGCTCTACTGCTTGAGCCACACCTCCAATTTTTAACCAATTTAGAGTGGAGATCAGTAGCATTAAATCCATTCACAGAGTTGCACAAGCATCCTCACTATGTAATTGCAAAACTTTTCCTTCCCCTGAAGGAGAAGCCCTGTATCCATTAAGCATCACCCCACATTCCTCCCTCCCCTCCCCCATTCCCCTACCCCACTAATCTACTTTCTGTCTGGAGATCTTGCCACAGAGTGTGTCATTCAGCATGAGGCTCTTTGTGTCTGGTGCATTTCACTTGGAGTAATGTCTTCAGAGTTTATCTGTAGAGCATAATACCATTTTGTAGCGTACCCAAGACTCCCTTTTCTCATGTTCTCCCAAGCCGTGTCCTGTTTACAAGCTTTAAAATATCTTCATTTATTTTGGTCCTTTTGGGCCAGCTTTTTTTTTTTTTTTCCACTTTTCCCATCCAGTGCTTCTCACGACCCTTGAAATGAATATTGGGGTGAAGTGTCATGCTGGTCCCTGGTGCTGCTGGGAAATGGGTCTAGGGTATTTTATTTCTGCTGGAGAATCAGGAACACACACAGGGCCCCCTGGGTTGTGCTTCATTTCCCCATGACAGCTTGGCAGGTTTTAAAAACAAGTGTCTGGAGAACACCCATCAGGCCCCTTTTATTCCTGGTTTAAGAGCTTCCTACAATGAGAAGTGGCCCTCAATTAAGTCGTTTAATAAAAACCTCCCTGGGTTTTAAAGCATTCTGGGGAAGTGTTTACATTCAACACCACAGCGGGCTTCTAAATGAGGAGCTGTGGAGTGAGCGATGCTTAACCTGTGACTTTAATAATATCCTTTGCTATGGATTTCAGGTGGAGGCCGGGCCAGATTTGTAGCTTGTCATTGACCCAGACTGGGGACAGACATGGGGGGGCGGGTGAGAGGTGGAGGACATTCTTGACTCTGTCCTCCGCCCCCAACAGCCAGTGGTAGAAGATTCTACCCGAGAGGCCTAAAGCCTTTTATAGAGATGTAAAAGTAGCTCACCAGAGAGAAAGCAAGAAACATTCCCAACTGGAAAGGGCACTAACACCTTCCTTCTTCTTCCCCCCTTGCTCCCTTCTGATGTATTGATAGGGGTCGAGGGTTCAGTAGGAATAGGTTTTGGGGACCCCATGGCTGGAGTTGGCTTTGCTCTTTGCTAACAGTGGGGAGTTGCGTGGGTTGCCCCCACAGGAAGCCAGAAGTTGGCTGCCTTCACTTTGTGGGAAAGGATTTATCATGGAGGACTGGGAAGGGAGATACAGCAAGTTGCAGGGTGGTCTTCCCTTCAGGCTGCTCTTCCAGAGACCCTCCTATCCTGGGTGGGATCCCAAGGGGAGGGAAATGGGAGTTACCGTGTCAGGCTGGGGTTTGACAGGCTGCAGGGTCCTGCCAGTAAGAGCTGGTCTGAGGGTCCCATACTGCCCAGGACTCAATCCCGGCCCTGGGCTCGGTTACTTGAGTTCAAGTGTGTGAAGTGCTGGCAGCCGTGTCCTCAGAGGGAGCCATGTATGTGCGGGTTCCTGTAAGAAAAGCTTCTTGTTCTCTGAGCCCACTCACCTCCCGGCCTGGCAGGCTCGTGTGTGCCATAGGACAGCGTGTCATCACCAGGTCCCAAAGGAAACAGGACTCACACATGGGGAAACAATGCTTGACAGATTTGTATTCCCTAGATTTCCCAGGGGGATCCCAGGGTGGGAAGAAGGGCACACAGTGGGTAGAAACTTTACTTAGACTTCGAAAAGATCTTTGGAAAAGCTTCACGGCCAAGGTTATTAAATGGGAGAGTCCCCTTCAATTTCCTGAGTGGACATGAACTCAAGAGAGAACAAGGCTGAAATTGCTCGCCTGTGTTGGATTCCAGAGAATTTTGTTTCACCTGCAAATGTGAAACAAAAATTTGCAGGTGAAACAAAATTCTAAAAGTAAAATGAACAATATTGGAGTTAAATTATAGGAAGTGGTTTTTTTTTTTCATGATTTAAATTTAAATTATGGCTACTTCTTGGGGGGTTCAGCTTACTTTTTAAGTATAGCTGGGCAGCCAGGGTTTGGGTCTTGTGGGGTTTGGTAGGGGACACTGTCAGATACTTGGTTGTGGCAGGACAGGAGTGCTGTTTAGCTGCGTGTGATTGGTGTGAAGGGAGGTTGTGGAAGGGAAAAAGTCCAGCAGTGAAAAAGGTCGGTCTTTATTTCCCCTGGCACCTGGCTTGTGTCTTACTCCTCCTAGTACAGTCAAATATGCACTGAAAAATGAGTGAATGTTTAGATCAAGACCTAAAGAAACTTTATGAAGTGCAAAACCCAACCAAGCAGCTTAAGTCAGCAAGAAAGTAGATTCTGTTGGAAATTCATTTTGCAAATAAAATATGGCTGTCATGAATCTAATTCATGAGCGAGCCATCGATCTGAGTAGGAAACTTTCCATTCTTCATCCACCTCATACAGACTGACGCCATTCTGCCAAGTTCTGGAAAATAAAGCTGGAAAAGGGTTTTAGGATGAACGGTACAAAGGCAGAAACTCAGTGGGATGGTGGTTATAGCAATGTCTGGTGTGTTTATAGCGTGTGGCTTCCATAGAGAGGTTTCTAGATGTCTTACCATCTGTTAAACATAGGTTGTGCATTTTTGTTGTTGTTGTTTCTTTTGAAGCAAAATAGAGGTCTTTCATACCCTGGACTAATTCGGCAGAAAATTGCCACCTTAATTATGTCACTTTGATAACAGGGAAAAGCTACAGATAACAGTGGGGAGAGGGAATTTTCTACCTTTATTGGCTGGCATCAGAAAAGAGTAGAAAAGTGTGCCTGTTGGGGAGATGAGAGAATTGTCTATAATAATATTTTCAAGTATAATTCTCTTCCATACAGAAAAGCAAAGGTGTTGCGCACCGAAAGGCTTTTTCTTGGCGAGGGGGGAGGATGGGGAGTGGGGCGCTGCCGTTCTGCTGTGCAGATATTTTTCTTCATTCTCTTCGTTCATAATTCTGTTTCTGAGTTCGACTGAGACTGTCGTAGCTGACATTTCCATTGGTTGCTTTTAACTTTTATACCCTTGGGTTTTAGCGTTTAGCCCTCTGTAAAGGCCACCGGATACCCAGTCTGCTCAGACAATGGTGATGTCATTTCCTTTGGAAGAAAATGAAAAGCTTTGAGCAGTCACAGTGGAAGGGAAGTGTAAAATTTTACTAGGCCTCCTTGGTTACAGAGTCAAACAGGCCACTTTGAACCCCGTCTATTTTGCTCCTCAAATGTGCTATGGAAAGTTTCCAGAATGTTTTTGGAAACAGATACACCTTTACAATGTTTTCATTTTTGTTTTTCCCCAAATGAGTCCTTAGAAATATTTGGAAGAAGAGTAA